GCCCGGACATGGGGAGCCATCCGTGTAGTTCATGACCAACTTGCGCCCCCGGAAGAAGGGATCGGATGCCTGTTGCCTGCACGCTGTCAGTTAAAGTCCCGAGGGAATCCCATGGGAGAAACCTACCCAATTGAGTATACCTTGCCTTCCTTCTCATAGTATGCGCTGACGTTCTTCCACCGGGCGCTATCGACTCCCACTACGTCTTTCACATCTTCCAGTACAGGCGCGCAGATGTTGACTGTGAAATTGGCACCGTAGTCATGGCCCTTGGCATGCCAGCTGCCTTCCCGAGCGTTCTTGCGAGGCCTTTCGCCCTCTGCAGGCGGAGGCGATATGGAAATCGCATTAAGATCGTAGAATAGGCCCGTGGTGGGGGAACGGACCACACAAGGTTGGAGGGAGTCTTTGGAGCCCGAAGAATCGGAGGCTGCGTATACAGGAAGTAGAGGAGCTGCGATACAGAAGAGGAGCTTGAGCAGGGAAGAAGATAGGGGCTTCATCGTGGGCGAGTGTGTCCCTTACGGAGGCAGCCGGGAGTTTCGGCGATAACAGCTCTCAGTCCGATGAGAGGAGATAACTAATGAAAGACAATCCTGTTGTCTGGTGAAAAGAGAGAGGAATGTGGTCGGAGGAAGATGATAATGGAGATACCAATGGGAAGAGGAAAAGGTAAAAGAGAGACAAACACGGCCACGAGAGGATGGATGGATGCGTAGGAAAGAGCCGCGGCGCTGTCGTCGTCGTGGTCGTCGTCGTAATGTGCGGAGATGAAACGTCGCATTCATTCATGGCAGGTGCGGAGACCGGTCGGAGACTCGGAGTCAGTCCCGACCGGGTGTGGCTGACTCAGCTCCTGGATAAGCTTTCCTTCTTTTTCTTTGTTTCACCGCCCGGCTGAGCTCCATCCGGCTCGGACCAGCAGCTCTCAAATGGATGCCTGCTGCCAAAGCTAGTATTTATAATTGCTTAGCGTCCATTGATCGAAGAGCCCGGCCATCAATTCCCCAGCCTGCCTTAAGATGGCTCCCAGAAAGACCTCGAGATCCCAAGTTCCCATTCAACCCGTGCCCGAGAAGCGTGGGTATGAGTTCTGTGGCCCGTATGTGATATCGTTCCTCTCCCTGAAAGACTACGCTGACCCATTGCACAGGCCCGGTGCCTTTGGAATTGTGTTCGGCCTTCCTCTCCTAGTATACACCTTTGCGTTCCTGTGTAACGATATCTCCGGCTGCCCTGCACCGTCTCTCCTCCACCCGTCGACCCTCACTCTCGAACAATTGAAGGAGGAAGTGGGCTGGCCCAAGGGGGGCTTGGCGGACCTCTATAGCACGGATGTGACCCTGTGGGTGCTCGGCTACTACCTGCTTAGTCTGGTGCTCTACGTGTTTCTCCCGGGCCAGGAGGCTGCAGGTACCGAATTAGCTTGTGGAGGTCGACTGCGGTACAAGTTCAATGGTTAGCTACCCCTGCATTTGCGTGTGCGTGTGTGTGTGTGGCAGCTCTGACTCTGGAACAGCATTCCCAACGGCGGTGTTGATCCTCTCCGGCCTTGCCACGTGCACCTACATTTACGGCTCGGACTTCATCGTCTGGACCTTCCTCTGGGACAACTACGTGCAGGTTCTTACCGCGAACCTACTGATCTCGACGGCGATCGCTGTCTTCGTCTACGCGAAGAGCTTCACCGTCCCGGCCCCTGGCCAACCCAACCCCGAGCTGCGTCAACTAGCCCCTGGTGGCCATACCGGCAATGTCCTGTATGACTTCTTCATCGGCAGAGAGCTCAACCCTCGCGTGCGGCTGCCTATCCCCTTCGTCAGCGAGGCCTCCCGTACCATTGACATCAAGTCCTGGTGTGAGATGCGTCCGGGTCTCTTGGGGTGGATCATCCTGAACCTGTCCAATATCGCTCGCCAGCACCGCACCTACGGCTACGTCACCGACTCGATCATCCTGTCCACCTTCTTCCAGGCTTTCTACGTGCTGGACGGCCTGTACATGGAGCCTGCGCTCTTGACCACGATGGACATCATCATGGACGGCTTCGGCTTCATGCTCTCGTTCGGCGATATGGTCTGGGTTCCGTTCATCTACAACTTCCAGACCCGGTATCTGGCGGTCTTCCCGCTGGAGCTGGGACTCAAGGGTATCGTGGCGGTGCTGGCCGTCACCGCGGCGGGCTATTCGATCTTCCGGGGCGCCAACAACCAGAAGAACCGTTTCCGCACCGACCCCAACGACCCGCGCGTCAAGCACCTCAAGTTCATCCAGACCTCCAGCGGTTCCAAGCTGCTCACCTCCGGCTGGTGGGGCTGCGCCCGTCACATCAACTACCTCGGTGACTGGCTCATGTCGTGGTCGTATTGTCTACCCACCGGTATCGCGGGATATGTGGTCATCCAGGGCGTCAACCCCGCCACGGGCGACCTGCAGAGGCAGGTGGTGCAGACCCCCGAAGTCCGTGGCTGGGGCATGGTGTTCACCTACTTCTTCATGCTCTACTTTGGCGTCCTGTTGATCCACCGCGAGCGTCGCGACGAGGAGAAGTGCAAAAAGAAGTACGGTGCGGATTGGGACCGATACACTTCTTTGGTGCGCAGTCGCATCGTCCCGGGGATCTATTGATCCGATCAAGCTTTCGGGATTCGTGATTTGGCGTGTTGAGTGTACGCCGAAAAAGCTTTTTCTTTTTTGCTGCTTTGAATTGGGGTTTCCTTTTCATGGCCTGTACACTTCTATGGACTTTGTAATAGAAACCTACTTCGTATATAATTAATTCACCGTTTGCGCTTCTTCGAATTCGCGTCCACTAACACATCCAACCCCCAATCTCCATCCCCGGCATTCGGCACCCACGGAACTAGGACGGTCTTCGCTTCTCGCAGAGCCCGTGCCCGCGCCTGACCGGGTTTCGTGGCAGTGACGATCGCTCTCTTGAAGTCGACATACGTAGTTGCATCAACAATCCGCCGTAACCCTTCCTCGTCAACCTGGGACAGCCCGTCGTCGCGTCTCATACGCCCATCATGTCGACCCTGATTCTTCTGGAGATCCAGAACAACCTCCCGGAAGCTTTCCCACATGCGCGCGCGCGACAGCGCCGACGCTCCCCGCACCACCGGCGCGGACGCCTTACTCCCCTGCTTCACCCCGCCGATGATGCTCTCATACAGCCCCGTCCGACTCCCCGCCAGCTTGGGCAGCTGCTTGGCTCCGCCGGCGGGCCCCCGCACAACCAGCTGATCGGCCCCAGCGGAGGGCGCGGCCACCCACACGGCCGAGATGGTCCCCGGCTTGTATTTTGTGGTACCTGTGGAAGCGGCCTGCGGCGAGTCCCGGGGTTTGCCGTACTGCCACAGGGATTCGGCCAGTGCAGAGGGGATGGAGAGGATCTCGAAGGGGTGGAATCGGTAGCCGGAAGCATCTTCCTCTTGTGTCTCCTTCTCCCGCTGCTCTTCTTCCTCTTCTTCTACTCCTCGACCTCCAAATGAGGAAGCCAAAGAAGGAGCAAGATACCCCCCGACCAGCCCCTTCATCCTCCCCTCCCTCCCAAACGCCCTCTCACACCCTACTTTACTTATCTCTGTCTCGGGCAACACCACCCCAGCCAGATACGCGCTGGCCGTGACGCGGACCAACAGCGCCGTCTCCGGGGATAGCAGGGACGAGACCTGGCGGAGGGCGAGCTTGTCGGAACAGGATTTGCTTTTGGTAGAGTCAGCGTCGGCGCGGGCAGGTTTGCGGCGGACGATGCCGAGTTTCGAGAAGTGGGCGCGGCCGTCGAGGAGGGTTGCTGGGGGTTTGGTCGGTGCTAATGAGGAGGGATCTGTTGGTGGTGGTGGTGGTGGTGGTGCTGTACTTGTAGCAGTTGTGTGAGGTGGAGGGTTGGTTGTCGAAGATAGGGCAGCGGCTGGAGCCCTTGTTGTTGTTTGTATAAGATTGGATTCCTCTGGAGCTGGTAGTGGTCCTGATAATGATACTGGTTCGGATGAAGAGGGATCCTCTACCCATGGCGTGGGATCCTCCTGCGCCGCCATGGTGAGCTCCATGCTTGCGTCGCCGCAGGGCGCGCAGGTGCAGCACATGTAGACTTTGAGGTCCGGGTGGAGTTCGAAGAGGGGTTGGTCGGGTTGCTGTTGCTGTTGCGGCTGGAGGTGTCGACGACGGATGAACCGCGATGGCGATGACGATGAGCTTTGGGTGACTGCAGCGCGTTCCTCATCCAACAGGAACCCCCTCACCTCCGACAAAACCCAGTAATTAAAAGCCCGGAGAGCGAGCACCTCGGCGTGCCAGTCATGGAGAACGAGACCCTTGCAATTTGGAAGCTGGGAGGCAGCGAGACATTTGGCGCCTGATCTGCTGTCATCAGTATGGGTGTTTCTGCAAATGTAGTAGATAAAAGAAAAGGGAAAACACACGTAACCGCAACACAAGTCAATTCTTCCTCCGTCGTATTTTCGCCTGATATTGCTGTTAGCACTATTAAATGTCCGAGTTGATATGCAAGGAAACAATCATCAGAAGCATTGGAAACATACGCCTGACAACCACCATCCCCGCCATCGGAATCCACTCTCTGGTGCCATCATCGCGGACAATCGGTTTACTGCGCGCGGGCAGCGCATCGAAATGCGTATGGACTAGGCGGGCGATTCGCGATGAGAGTCCATCTTGCGGATTCTCTTCTCCCATAGCATCTATGTATATATAAGTTATCAAGCCGTAATTCCAAAAATAAAAATAACCAAAAGCCCAAATACCCGACTGGACTATATAACCAGTAGTGAGGAGAAGTAAAATCTATGAGTATTATAAATTCCCGATAAAGTCATTCCGCTAAACTTATCGATAAATCCCATCCCCACATCACGTGGCATCCTGCCGCATTTTCAAACCCACTGCCAAAAGCTCCGCGGCGAAACAATCAACCTTCCAAGTTCTCAACCTTCAATCTCAGAAACAAGCACAAACCAAACGCACCACCTATCCCCACCAAGAAACCAATACCCCTCTAACCTCCCCAAACCAAGTCCAGAAACCAAGCCAAAATGGCCGACAAACTCCGCACCCTCCAGAACCTCGAGGCGATGCAGGCCCGATACATCGGCACGGGCCACGCCGACACGACCAAGTACGAGTGGCTCTCCAACATCGTGCGCGACAGCTACGCCTCGTACATCGGCCACCCGCCGATGCTGTCGTACATGGCCGTGGGGATGGGCGAGTCCAAGGAGAAGGTGCGGGCGACGATGATCGAGAAGATGGTGCGCGGGGCGGGGAATCCGCCGGAGGTGAGTTTAGTCTCACACTCTTTTTTTTGGAGTTGAAATGGATGTTGTGTGCTGATTTACTGGGTCTAGACACAGGAATGATGAGGATGGGTTGGGTTGAGTGTTCCAGTCAGTTTGGATGTTAGAAGGGGTGCTGATCGGGGGTTGACTGGTTCAATGTCTAGGAGAGGATTCAGGAGGGACGATACTGGATGACGTGCCCTAAAATCTGTGGTCTGGTTATCCAGAGATATCTGGCTGTATGTCTTAGGGGCAAGACAGGACAAGACAAGAAAGGACATCAGGTCATCGATGAGAGGCAAGGAGTTTATGGATACGGCGTTTCAGGGGGTTATGCCTTTTCTGCTCGTGTTTGAGTTTCAGTGCAGCGAGATTTTTCCATTACTCAATAAGGCTTATAATAGTTATCATATCACACTCAAACAGATCCCATGTGCTTGCACTGTACTCCGGCATGTATCTCACCAATCAAAACCCAACATTATGTACTGTACAAGACCTACTCAACCCCATCGAAACTAGCTACTCAATCTTCTTCACCTCTCTACGAATCATCTACCACGGCAACTACCTCTTCTCCTCATTCAAATTCGTCGTCGAAGCACCACCAGCAGCAGCGGCATTGGCAGCCCCGGGATCCTGCTGCGCCGCCAACCTCGTATTTTCCGCCTGCAGCGACCCGATCAGATCCAACCACTGCTTGCGCTCCGACCGCAGCCGATCGACCTCCTTCTTCAGCAGCTCGACCTCTCGCCGGAGCGCATCCGCCTCGCCCCGGGCCCGCGACTTCTCCTGCTTCTCGGCGTGCTTTTGCTGCCGCGCCTCGATCTTCGATGCCTCCTTCACCTGGTCCTTTTCGATCTTGCCCAGCTGCTTCAGCAGCTTCGACTCCTCATTGAACAAGCCGGACGCCACCTTGTGCGCACGCGCGGCCTCATGACGGTTGTGGTGGTGATTGTTGCCACCGCTGGACGCCACCCCCCGGTGCACGCTGCTGCCCGGGCTGCTGCTGAGTTGCTCGCTGCCTACGTCGCCAGCCGCGGCCAGCGCCGCTGCTGATGCCTTGTCTCGCTTGTTGTTATTGTTGCTGCTGCTGTTGCCGACCCCGCCCTCAGCTGTTGCGGTTTGTGGGGGCGAAGCTGGTGTGGTCTCGACATGCAGGGCCTGGATCTCCGAGCGAACGCGGTCCAGCTGCGCCTCGACGTTGCGTTTGCGCTCCGCCAGCTTGGCCAGTTGCTTCTCGTGGGATGAGAGTTTCCCCTTCTTGTTGAGTGTCATTTGTTCGATGGCGGAGACATTGGGAGGGGCTTCGACGGCGGAGTCGAAAGCCGAATTGGCGGAGAAGGCGACGGAGGCTTTCCCTTGCGAGGCTGCATCGTTGAACTCTGGCTCGGTGGGCTTGGCGGTAGTAGTGGTTGCTGTGGGGGGTGTTGGCTCGGTTTGCGGATCTTCCTTGTCATCTGTCGGATAGCCATTTTCCTGGGCAGTGCTGACTGTCGACGACTGTCGCGAATGACCGTGGGGGAGATAGTCGAGGACGGCCTGCGGAGCATACCGCTCCAGACCCGCATTGACCAGGTATGCGAAACTGGCAATGAGGCCGTGATGCTCAACTTCAGTGTCCGAATAGAAGTCCGAATCACTGGAATCCCCAGACACACTATCCTCGTCGTCTTCCGCCGAAGCCTCAGCGCCAGGGTCATGTTGATGCTGATGCTGATGCTGATGACTTGCGGTCCCTGACTTGCGATGCGCGTGCTTCTTATGGCCTTCATCCCGACATGCCCAGTTCAAGAACTTGATGGCATCCTGACAGATACTCTTGGGGGTGCCCTTTTCCACCATCCATCGAGGGATATTGCCTCCGGGATCACTTCTCGTGACCATCACCCATTCCACGGGATTCAGTTTTCTCTGCACTTCCTGCACCTCTTGCCCATTCACTTCCTTCCCAGCCTCACCACCAGCACCCTCTCCGTAGTCCTCCTCATCATACACCGGAATCTCTCTAATAAACTCCACACTCTCATACTGCCCCCTAATATAATTCTGCGTCGGCGGCACATCAGGGTGTTCACACGGCCTCGAAACCATCATCCACCTCCTCGCCTCTTTCCCTTTCCCCTTAGTCCCTGCCCCCTCTCCCTCCATCGAACCCACCCCCTCAAACCCCTCCGTCACAACCTCCCAACTAACAATCAAACTCACAAAATCCCTGGCCGCCGTCGGCTTCGGAAACATAGCGGAGACATGATACACCTGGACCCGACCAATGACCCTTGCGCCATCCTCACTCTTCACCTCGATATCCTCGACCAACCGCTCGGCCCCGATACCGCGCACCGCCTGGTCCGGCGGCCGCCCCTTCTGGATCTGCTGCTGGTTCATGCGGAGCGTATGGCCCATCTCCCCGGACAGTTTCGCGTGCCACTTCGTGAACGGCAGTCCAGCGAACACGCTGCGGCGGCCGAACCAGTGGCCCTTGCCGTCCGAGCCGGGAAGCTTGAAGATCGGAATGTGGAGGGGGTTCTCCTTGGCCGAGGAGATCTTGATGGGCTTGCTCCATTCCTTGTGGTGGGGGTTGTTCGGGATCGAGGGGGGCGGGGGTGGTAGTAGTGGTGGTTGTTGTGGTTGTTGTTGTTGTTGGGGTTCTGCTGCTGCTGCTGCTGCTGCTGCTGCTGATGATGATGATGATGTTGGGGAAGTTGTCGTGGTTGCAGTAGTAGAGGTAGGGGAGGTGAGGAATTGGGAGGCGCGGGCGTTGGAGGGGTGGAGGATGGCTGCGGCGGGGGGTAAGTGGGTGTTGTTGTTGGTCGTGTGAGATACGGAAGATGGACTTTCTTCTTTATCGATCGGTGGCTCGGGCACGGATTCGATGATCAATCGCGCTTTCGTGGAGAGGTCGTGAAGGTAGGCGCGCAGAGCGTCCGGGTCGTTGCTGGGGATCGAGTCCCAGGTGGTCGGCGAGAGGCAGTTGAGGGCCTCATGGAGGTCGGCCATTTTGTTTCTCTCTTGCTCCCTTTGTACCTGCTTTATGAGTGTGGTAAAAACAGTGTATATTTCATTTATGAGTTGGGGTTGGGATGAAGTTTCTTGGATGTAAGCCTTGTAACAGAGCGAACAACGATGGTTGTCAAGCAACTGGAGGTGGATGATAGTATAGATTGCAGTGAGGAGAGCAGATCTCTAGCCGGGAGGGGGGAGGGAAGCATGAAGGGAAAATTGCGGGGAAATTACTTCATGCGCGAACGGCCGTTCATAGGGGACTGATTAGTTGATGATGATAATGATGATGACGATGAAATGTAAGCAAGCCAGCCAGCCCAGCCCAGCAAGCGATGATGAAGGTGGTTGACGGTAGTGGGTAGTGGTTGTCCGCCCTGCTGGGCTGGCCGTGACCCTGACGTCATCCCGAGGCCCGGACTCTTTGTTTAGCGCCCGCGGAGATCCCGCACAGCGGATCAGTATGCGTCGTGGCCTGGTAAGTCAAGTAAGTGCTGAGATTACGCACTGCATGTCATTCGACTTCATTTTTAGATTATATCAGACTTAGGTACATCTTGCCAATCACATACGGAACAGCAGAAAGAAACAAGAATGAGAAGTAAAGAACAACGCAAGACGTGGGCGCAGCCCTGCCAGCATCCGATTCCCGCCCGCTCTTCCCACGCCTCCTCCAGGGAGGGTTGGTCAAGTGGACAGGCGCATCCAGGTAATCCCGAAAACAAACAAAAGAGATAAAACCCAGCCTGGATGATAGGAGATGAACCTACCAGAACAACACAAGGGCCGGAGTAAGGGCAGAATCGCCTTCAAGGCCATTGTTATCACTCGCAGATCAGGGGCAACGCAGAGAGGTCACAGACCCCCACTCAAAGTGTGTTGGCTCAACTGGTGTATGTGGCTGCCGCAGGCAGACGCCCAACCAAACCTAATCGAACGAGATCAACAACAGCCCTGACGCGATTCGGCACAAACTCAGAGCCTCGTCTTGGTCATAAAAGTCTGCCGTCATAGATGCATCACAGATGCCTTCTGCTGATCAGCAGTGCCACCGCGCATCTCAGCTAGCTAGTCCCGTTGGATACCTGTATCCCCAGACTAGCTGACCGCAGAGATGCTGCCTGGGAGCCTAGTACAGAGGCAATGCACAGCATTGTCTGTCTCAACCACCCGGACCAACAGCGGCAACGAAGCGAAAACGATGGTGAACATTTCCTCATCCAAATCATATCCCGTGCCGCGAGGCTAACCAGGTCTTCATGACGTATAGTGAAAAGCAATCACAATTGTAGCCGACCCGCCGCTTCTTGATGCTGTAGAACAAAAGTAATCACGCTAGCGCTGTTTGAATCAATATAAGAAAAAGAAAACACAAAACCGTGAGCGAAGAGAGGTGATCTCAGCAGTCATGCAGAATATAGACGATATGGAGTATCATGTATGTCGCAAAGTCAATCAAGGAGAACGCCGCCATTGATGCCAATTAGTCGGATGTCTGTCGTGGGGAGGATTTGGCCCCGGTCGGTCAAGAGCTGGTGCGGGAGGGATCGGACCGGGCGGCATAGGCGAGCTGTAATATTCGTGATGTCGGTTCGAGCCCTGGGATCTGTTTCCAAAAGACACGCCAAGTCAGGGAGACCGTTAACATCAAGTGTCTGGTTCCATGGACGCGTTTACATTATTGTCCCGTAGGGAAGCGAAAGCGATGAGAAATCCTGGTATCGATCCCCCCATCCAAACCCTGTCATGTTTGCTGCCGTGCTGCAGAGCATGCTCGGCAGTGGGAGAGCTGCAAGAGCCGCCGAGGTCGCCGCCACACCGTAGTACTGCGCCGCGCTGTACGGCGGCGCCGTCGTATACGGTGGACTGAATGTCGACGCCGGTGGAGAGGTCAGCTGCGCATCCTCCATGCCGCTCATGTGAGCCCAAAGACCCGGATTCACATCCCCGGTCGTAGCCGTGGCTGGACTGGACGGCAGGATCTTCCAGGGGTCCATCGGAAGGGGCTGATGCATCGAATCCTGCCACCAGGGTCCGGGACCCGTTGAGCTGGGCAGATAAGGCACCGAGCGAAGCACGTCGACAACCCGCGGAGGCGGTGGCTGCAGGGGGACGAACAAGTTGGATATGGCCACTTTGGCTTCCTCACTGCGGCCGGCCAGAAGTTCACCCGCCCCATCCTCCTCGAGCCCTTCGAGGGCAAGGACGCTTGTGCGATAGACAAACTTGTTGGCAGCTTGGACAAACTCCTCCTGTAGCTTCTTCAGTTGGGTTTCCTTGTCGGACCAGTCCCAGGTTTTCGCTGCGGCATCGACGGAGTAGACATCCTTGTGATAATCAACGAGCGCCTCAATGGTTTCCGGGGTTAGCTTGAAGGCGATTTCGTTCTGCGACACCATATCCACATGGACGACGTAGGCATCGATGTGGATCATTTGATAGTTGAAGAGGCCCTCCACCAGAGGGTTGTCATCCTTGCGAAGTTCGGCCTCGGGAGCCTTGGGGAACACCATCGAACACAGCGTCCAGATAGCGTTGGGCGAGGACAGCGTCTCGGTCAGACATCTAGTATGCTGTGTGACATTGTTCAGCGGGCGTTTGACTCGGTTGACCCGTTTCAAGGTGGCCGTGAGCCACGGTTCGATGCGGGCGTTGAGCACCACATTTGGCGATGACCGCGGGGCAAATGCGGCTGCCGACGAGGGCAGTAAGACGGTGGGCATTTCTCAGACTGCGCGAGAGCGACGAAAGATGGTACTGTATTTGACAAAAAGCAAAGAACGAAGAAGAGAAGGGCGAATCAGTAAAGAGAGAGAGAAGATAGGATCGAAAAAGACCATAGAGGCGACATTCGCCCACACCGAGTGAGTTTTCCTGATACAATCCAATCCGTCTGTTGAGGGCAGACAGAAAAAAAGAGGCAGAGCTCGAAGTCACGAGGACTGACCCAGTCCCGATAACAGGCACGACGGAGGGGTATGTAAATAATGAAAGGAAAAAAGTAAAATGATCAAAGTAGGTGTGGCGGGGTAAAAACCGCTGCCTATCTGGTAGACGATGGAGACGGTGGGATCAGAAGGTGAGTTGAGCAGTTAGGGTATAGATTAAAAATCCCCACCATCAACCAAAGGCAAGTGGAGTGTAGCAGCGGGTATAGTAGTAGTAGTAGGAGGAGTAGGTAGTGGTGGTGGTAGCAGTGGTAGCGATAATAATAGGCAATCGTGGGAATGTATAAGGCAAAACTACTGACTGTGTGGGCGAACGCGCGAAAAGAAAACAAAGGAATGGCAAGGACTGAAAATAGAATGCAGGCCCCGTGAAAAGAGGGAGGGAGAGGAGAAGAAGAGGGAGGAGGAAGGAAGAAAAGAGGAAGAAAAGAGGGAATAATGCAAATGGAGGAGGACAAAGAGGAGGAGGGGGGCAAAACAGACAGATGGAGGCTGCCTGCAGTTCAGTCAGTGTATGCAGCAATAGCAGCAGCAATAGCAGCAGCAATAGCAGCAGCAGCAACAATAGAGAGAGAGAGTTGAGCTGACTTGACAGTACAGATACAGTAAGGTCCACCGGGTATGGGGCTTTAGTATGAGTATATGTATCAATGCACGGGATTCTATACAGCCGTCCAACAAGCCACCCACCAGAAAAGAGTCCGCTCCGAAACAGCAATGTCCACAACCACCCAATTTTTAAAGAGTAGCGTCTGGATTCGTAGAGAAAAAGAAGGCTCTTTGACTTGGGAACGTTAAACAAGCCAAACGAAGACAATTTCAAGCTGACTTTTGCATACGCATACTGTCTCAAATGCCTTCAGCTTTCGCCAACCAACCTTGATAGGAGTTGAGTTACCGGGTGATACGCACAAGCGATAGCCCATACATAACTTTAGTTACTGTGGAGGAGGAGAGGAGAGGAGAGGAGAGGGGGGCAACTCGCAGATTCGCTCTTCTGCAATGGCGCAGTCCGACCGGCGACTTTTCCCATGCAGTCGACGCGAAATCCCGATCGTATGGTACGAGTGATTTTTCTTTTGCGATTTTCACACCTGCATTTTTTTCACTTTGACCTGGACGGAAAAAAAATCATTAATAATTTTTAAGGATTATTTCTATCACTTTTGATGGTTGGAGCCATCGCCCGCATTTCCCGGTGCGCTCTCGATCACTTTTTCTTGCTCTTGCTCCTCCCGTGGCCTTCAGCAACAAATCTTAGCCAGATATGCAAGTGTCCAGAATCGTCATCGGCAGTGGAGCATCGGCCAGGAAAAGACAGGAAAACAGAAGGGGACGAAAGCCAGAAAAAGCAGAGTCAGTCAGGTAGGTTAGTAGTTGGTCAATCCACGACCCTGGAAGGCAAAGTCAAGAAAGAGCAAGAAGAGCACGGGGCTACTTTAGACCAGGTGATCCCCCATGATTACTGAATTATTACTATTTTGGCTCGCTGAGTGATTTCTCTATCCGTACATCCACCACTAAGTTGCTACAATCAAGTAAAGATACTACGGCAGATGTGAGTTCACTGAAATAATGATTCAAGATCCAATTTCCACATACTCAGACCGACCCATAATACCTTGTACCTTTTAAGAGTCGCGGATGTCCGCGAACAAAGAAAGTTTGGACCAAAAGGCGCCCCCGTAGTGTATCTAAGCTGTTTCTTGCCTGACTGCCGGATATCGCTGGGGAACGATGCCTGCTGATATGGAAGTGCTCTCCGGTCGGGATGCGAAAAAAAGATGATTTAACCTTTTCTATATCCTCTTTTCTGTCGCACTCCCTAAACTCCCTGAGAAGCTAGTTGGGGGCCCTGTTCATTCTGAGATTCATCATGATGGGAGGGGAATAAAGGTGATGTTTTCCTTGAAAAAATCTTCAAATTCTCCTTTCGACTGGATCAACATGCATCGACAAAATGCCACAGTGGGATAAGAAGCCGGTCAACTGCCCTAGCTAGGCAGGTCACACAAAAGGGCAGACAGACAGACAAGACAGACACCCACCCCGAACTTGAGTTTCTGCCCAGCACGGCCGGGCGGCCGGGCGGACGGACAAGAGACAGAAGCTGAACCATGGATCAACCCCAACAAGCGTTCCATTCATTTTCAATTCCTGTCTGACCCGGAAAGCGCCCATTTGTCAGGTGTGTGCGCGCGTGTGTGTGTGTGTGTGTGTGTGTGTGTGTGCATTGTCAGTGATGGTGACACCGGAATGGCAAGTAACCCAGCAAGAGCTGTGCTCTGAAGTACTTTTCCCTCTTTCCTTTTCCCTCCCTCAAATACAGTGGTTGTTCGACTCTATATCTAAAGAGAGAAGTTGTATACAACGTTGTAGACAGAGAAAAAAAAAGGCGTGGTTGCAGGATGGGCTTGCAGGTTGGAATCAGGGCTGGCTGGGGCTAAGCTAAGCCCCTCTCCTCCCTCAGCTCGCTCGGCCTCTTCCCTCTTCTTTCCTCCGCGATGGGCAAACGCTCCACTTGCCATGCAAGCTGCGAAGGCTGAGAGTGGCAGTACACTTATCTTCTTCCAATACCAAGACATCCATGCATAATACTTCTTCAAGATATGTTGACATTTGAACAGTGGGAGCGAATACGATCCATATGCGACTGTTCAAGTTTCTAGTGTTTCAAACACCGAGTCAACAGCTACAGTACCTAAGTTATAGCGATTCATCTACCTACCTGCGCAATCAAACCTCAAAAGTGATTGTACACAGATTATCCATCGCATCATTCAATACTACAATGACCAATCAACGCACGCGACATTTAAAAAGTACTCAACTCTATTCCGCCTTTCCCAAAGTCACGAATCTAGTCTTCTCTATGGACTGAGTCAAGACAAGCCCACTTTCTCAATGCGAGGGTATCCAAAAACGGGTGAAACCCAGAATCGGATCAAGTACGTGGTCTAACTTACTCAGTATGGGTAAGACATCGAATCAAAAAGCCCCTCGCTCTTTTAGACTTGACCTCTCCGGCACGCGATACCGCCACCCACTTCGCGTCCTTTGACCGGTGGGACCTTTTCGAAGCAACTCACATGTGGCAAGTCAGCCCTGAGATCCAGATTCCACTAGACTTCATATTCCCGATGCCGTGTGAACTAAGAAATAATGATTCGTAGTCTATAGCATCGATGTAATCTATATACTCACTGCCGAGAGAACAGTTTTCACACTACCCACAGTCCATACACAGGACAAGTATAACGCATGCATACCAGACCTGTAGTCGCATGTACATCATCGCGCATATATGCGAGTAGGTAAACATCTACTCATGCCATGCAAACGCCCATGTGGGTAGAAAGAGATGAAATGGAGATATTGGAAATCCACTCTCCCGTATGACTCACCCAAGTACACACTCGCCAATTCCGATCGTCCGTGTACTTATTATTCTATGATGCTTACAGAACTTGATCTATACTGCATGCTCTGTATATACCTATGATGATGGCAAACAGATGCCTTTGCACAAAAGCCACCGTCTCATGCCGTTAAAATTTGAAATCACCCGGGCACAAAATCTTAAGCAAATGCCCTTGATTGACCAATAGTAGAAGGGGAATTTTACTTACACCTGCTCTTCAAAGGTGCACATACGGAGTAGAAACATCTGCAAAGGAAAAAGAAAGAAGGCTGGGAAACATCTCCATCCGATAGAGGGTCCGGTCCACAAAACGCACGGCCCAGTGGTACCCGACTCAAGTTCCGATGCAGATAGATACCTTACTGGAAACAATAATACTCCTACCGTAGTACTACCTACACGCAGAACGGGAAAGCTGATACAAGAGGCCGAGGTGGCTCATCCATGTTCCTAGAGAGTCGTCGTAGTATCGCAACTCGGGGCATGGTTCACGATGGGGCGGGTTCCTTTTCTGCAAGATGAACAGGGGTGGACGAATAAGTTCCGGACATGCAGGAAATTCCTGAGTTTATACAATCGTTTGGCTTGGAAAGGGAAAATGAGCATATTTGCTGTTCAAGACCTGAAAGCACACCCCTGTTGGTTTGCTCATTATGCTGTACATCATGGACCTGCGTGATTAGTGCTAAATCCTGGAGATTCGAGTACCGCCGTTTCTGGGCTGGTTTCTAGAAAGAATGTCTTGTCTGTACTTGTGCTGAACCACACAGAATATGAGCATAACACATCTAACACATCCGGAATACTTCAAAGTAACGTTATTGCAAGGCAGCGAAAATAAGAATAAAGCAACCTGTATTCGACTCGCGGACGGTACACTTTTCAGTGCACTTCTACTTATAGCCGCCGATACCCGCATTGTTACGCGTTTGTATTCAGCATTTGTCTGTGGCTCTATCAACAAATATACAATCTACCAAGAGGGACTCTCCACCAGAATATGGGATAGCCTCAAGGTCGTTCCTGTCTAAGCGATGATACTCAAACCCTCGTTGTTGAACCTACCCCTAGATTTTACTCTCAAACCGTACCGCCGGAGTGAGTATCAATAAGAGCCGATGCGCTCAGCTGAGGGATTACTGAAGGCCAGGAATTTATCTGAAGAGGCGTCGTGGGGCGAGCTAAAAAGCCCTGGGCAGTTAGATGAGAAATGCCTCTTCTGGCCGCGGATTCGTTGACGGGCTACAGCGGCCGGCTCGGTCGCCGCAGCTGAGATCCCCGCTACGGACTCTCATTGGACTGGCCTCGACGACCGGTCATCTCCAGATTTTCTGGAATAGGAAGGGTAGTCGGA